GAACTTGTCATGATTATGAGGATAAAGATAAGATTGGTGGTTTTGAAGAGCATGGAACCGCCTCTTATATGCTGTGTTTACCCAGGTCTTGATCCTTGATGTTAGCACCTTATAGGGTCCCAGTTATGGGAAAATAGGGAATCCACAAACACAAACATACTCTATAAAAGTATAAAAAGTAGATTTTTATTTTAAAATTATCCACAATACCTATTTATACCAAATCTACCGACAATACCACTTCATTTCCAACTATGTATTTTATAGCTAACTGAAAAGCAATATATTTTATCTGTAGTTGAAGGCATATAATTGCGTTCAAAATATCTTTTTTTATCTTTTTAATAATTTCACAAGCAAGGCAGGAATGCGATTAGTACGCAGGAGGTTACAGGGATTGAAAGTGATAGAAAAGACATCATATTATCGGGTGGACTGAAGAAAGTACAAAATGTAGCCGTGATTCAAGACGAGAGATAATGGCAATTGACGTTGCATTTAATTTTGTTAAGATCTTAATTACCAGGAAAGAAAGAAAACGGGAAGGGATTCCACATGCGAGAAGTACGTCAAAATATGCTTTTGGAGAAGAAGTGGCGGCTGCACTTAGGTATATCAAGATTAAACCGGTGAGACCTAGATGCCAATCTAGTAGCATGCTTGATTTGATGTCGTCGGGGCACCCGGAATAAAAATCTTTAGAGTAGTTGCCATGAAAATATTTGTAGAAAGACATTCAGAAGCAACGTCAGGTCCGTGGGAAGATGATTTCAAATTAATTTCCCCCACACACACTTATATATATATATTAAGTAATTCATCGGGTCTGAAAGAAACCTCAACAGAATGCAGAAAGCATTCAAATCCCCCTAATAATTTCTATCATGTACATCATTGCTTGAACTGGCTTCTAATGCTCTAGAGTGAGCGGCTTGGTGAGAGTAGTCTTGGCTCCAGGGGGCACAGTCCTATGGTTACGGTTAACTCAGTAAGAGTTGCACCAAGGGATATGTGAGCGAGCGTCTCTATACTGAGACTGATTTGCAATCTCTTCGTCACCGAGGCCCGGTGTAACAGTTGGTATGATGTTTGCTTGACAACCTAACTGACAGGGTTTCAAATCTCGGTAGTGGATGTGCACTGCTGATGTGTCCCAAATGTAAGACAAAACGGCTGTCCAATGCCTTCTGCATTCTGTTGAGGTTTCTTTCGGATTCGATGAATTACGTAAAATATCATTATCAAGTCCTGCTAATAATTTCTATCATATATTGAAATAAATATATATATTGAAAACGTTCTATAAAGTTGATGTAATTAATTTTCCCGCATTCTATACTTTTTCCCTTTTTCAGTGGTTAAAGAATACAGGAATTGTCCATAGTTATAATACTTCCAAGAACCTTCGGCTAGTTCAATAACAATTATGAAGAATCTTGTTTCAGGATCATGAATTTCCATGTGTTAACTTCTACAATATTAGGGAAGCATTGCTGATTAAATACCATTCTCCTGCTATCAAACTTATACTGTTCATCAGTGGAGACGCCGTGCTAAAGATTTTCTAAAAAGTGAAGTGATGCCCATGTCACCAATCGCAATATAGAACGTAGCCGCAAAAAAGATAACCAACAATGTAAAAATTAAAAGACTATTCATTAAATAAAATATATAAAATAAACAAGATAATACAATACCATAAAATTATCTTGTCTGTATTGTTCATTGAAACATGTATAAAAGTTAAATTGATGAAATACACAACAATATATATATATATATATATATATATATATATATATATATATATATATATATGTATATTCATCGAGAGAGAGACTGTTTCGCTGTATCACAGCTTATCAGTGTAGTTAGATATCCAATCGCTTCAAGCTGGGACCGAAATTCGACCGATTTCACATCTGACGGAGATTCTAACCCCTAGACTCAGCAGATAAGCGAATTAAGTCAACTCCCCATGAAAAATTATTACCTGTAGAACAAAATTTCCGCCTGGAAAAACATGATTTCAAAGCCCATGCCAAATTCACTATAATTGAGAGAATAGAAAAGTTCAGAGCAGATAACATTAGAAAGATTTTAGAGTCCAATGAAAATAAGGGTTACAACGTCTAAATACAAAATATACAGCCGGGCTAAACCATAAATTTAACAATATATAGATAGTACCAATATATAGCTCAACAAATCAAAACCTACACACATTTCTCACCCACACAAGACAGACATGCTTACGGAGGTGTGGAGGCCTCACACTTATACACCCACCCACACGAATATACACACTTACACACATCATACTCACTCACACCCTAATGAGCCAAATGATAACACACACCCACAGCAATATACATGCTTACACATATCATACTCACTCACTCCCTAAGAACCAAATAACACACACACAAACACTAAACAGAGACACATCCCCTCACCAGGTGCAATAAAACTGTCAAACTGATCACGGGAATTCAGAGCAACATGTATCTATCCAGCTCTTATCTCAAATAGCAACTTAAAAAAGACTGTTTGAGCAACACAAGGTTTGTTAAAAGATTCATGTGAAAAAGATAAAAAAAAATATAAAAAAAACAAATGAAAACTACAGACAAAAGTTCATTTTTCCATCAAGACATTCATTTCTGAGTTTACTGCTACTAGCAAGCAGAAATATTTTCTCCTGATGATGGCCATTTTGGTCGAAACTAGTCGAGGAATCTAAATGGAATAATAATAAAAAAAAAAAAAATACGAAAGAATATTAATCTACCACCCAGTGTGTTTAAAGATTTTAATTTTTTTATTGTTCAATATATATATATATATATATATATATATATATATATATATATATATATATATATATATATGAAGAAAAATACACTGAAAAAAAAACAAACAAAAATCCTAATATGCGATTATGACGACGACGTGATCATATTTAAATGTAACGCTGATCTTATAAAAGATTTCATTTATCTGTTTGGATTGGTATTGCTTTCATGTCCATCGTTTTTTTCATGTTGAATTGTATATGGTCTATGTTAATTATGCTTTATGAATATGTCCTGAAGATGGTCTATTAGACCGAAACGTTCGACGATGACATTAAACATTAAAACAGCATAATCGCATATTAGGATTTTTGTTTCTTTTTTCAGTATATTTTTCTTCATACTGACGGATCTATATCCATATATTTGCTTCTATATATATATATATATATATATATATATATATATATATACACAAACACACACACTCGTATATATACAGGGTGTCCCAAAATAATGTAGATGTTCTTTGAATCGTTATAACATATTCAATTTATGTATTTTGACTTGTAAATAAGATTAATACAAGAGAAAGAATTCACATTTAAACTTTAATAAGTTAAAAGCTATTTGGATCAATGGCAGAATAGTCATATAATGATAAGTTCACATCAAGTGCTCAAACTGGTTGCCGTTCTGTTCAATACATTTTTAATATCTTGAAGATATAGACCTACAAACGTCCAGTATAATTTCCTCTGGTATTTGAGTATACTCTTCTTCAATTGCTACTCTCATTTTAGCAGTTGTTTCAGGTTTCTTGCTGTAAACTTTGTCTTTTAGAAACCCCCACAAAAAGAAATCCAAGGGCGTCAAATCTGGTGATCTAGGTGGGTATTCAATTGCCCCTCTTTTTCCAATCCATAACTTTTTTACGTAAATTTCATCCATATAAATTCTCACATGTATTATTAACTATTAATCTTTCAAGAGTGTATACATTATTTTGGGACACCCTATATATATATATATATATATATATATATATATATATATATATATATATATATATATATACACTTGTGCATGTAAATTTATAACAGGCCTTACGGCCAAATGTTATTAAATTGTACTACATCCGTCTTCTTACTGAAAACTGGTTAATGGCATTGAAAACCAGCATCATGTTTGTGACTATGAAACACGCTTGAACAATAAGTACTCGACACCCTCGTCTACATATGGCCAGCTGAAGTGATTATACGTCTGTTTCAGCAATTTATACATAAATGTAGTAATATATGCAAGATAACAAGAAGTTATACGAAAATCGTTAAATAGATGGAGAGAGGAAAGCGTACATGCTCAAACGGAGATCGGCAAAACGGAAATTGGTTAACTTCCTGTTTTATGAATCGAGTAGGTTGCAATTTTGTGTTTAAAATATCTTATATAATTTTTCGCTTTTTCCTATGAAGATGGTTTTATGTTTTAATCGGAGCGTTTTTAGCAATATGTCTATAAAAAAACAAAAAAGAAACAGAAGCGTTATTAAAATTAGAGCTTAGAAGGTTCACACTACCTTTTTATTCAGAATGTTTATGAATAAACCAATAAAATATTTATATAGATCAAATAGGTACACTGATATGGGGAAATATTTTTAAGTCTAAAAACCAAGATCATTTTTGATAAAATAAAAATGTCTTGAAAATATGGTTATTGTAGTTTGTGGGTGAATCTTTGTGGCCGGCATATAAAAAGTGATATAAAATAACTAATAAAGGTCTGGACATTTTTTTACCTCTTAAAATCCTTAGTAATAAAAGTCAGTACCAAATGTCTCAGAAGCGAAGGGCAGCAGTGTATGTTTCCTCAGACAGGGAAGAATGGTCATAAAACAGAATTCTATGCTGAGTTTATACCAAATCCATAATTTCAACCGACTTCATTTTCTATAAAAATGGCGACCGTCTAAACAGCGCGGTTGGCGCTAACGTGAACATACGCCCAGGTCCCTATAAATGTTATTTTTTTACGAACCAGTCAGATTCTGTGCAACTCCGAGGTTCGATTCCTGTTTTTATCGATGTAAACAAAACTGGGAATGGTCTGATATATGTTCAACAAAGTAACTGAAATCGAAATTCTGTTTGGGGCGAAACCTATCGAATACGGGCGTCTTGAGATATCACTTTTGTAAGAATGACACGACAGTTGCTTCCGATAAGCAGGATTCCTTATTCATGGATCGGTCAACTGGAACTGCCTGGGCTTTACGTACGTGACACTTGGAACATTTTCGCTACTATTTTCACCTTCTATCATCAAAGACAAACTGAGCAGATTTTCTCTGCAGACAGTGGGAATGCTGTCCCCCTCTGTCTCCGTTTAGCTCAACATCGTTTCTTACTCAATTTGTGATTCTTATTTTGCGGCGTCTCTAGAAATTGGGATGACTATATAAGTTTATATAAGACCATCAGAAATTATTACCTTCCGGCTGAGTGTCATTTTATCCCGAAATTTCTTTATTGATACATATTTATTCTATTTTTCCTACGCGTGAACAGCAGTTGTTTGCTTTGAAACTTTTACATGAAGATATTACAGTCGATTCTCTAAACTAAGATAAAACAATTTAAACTTCGTCTGACTGTATAATCTCTTAGCGGGGAATGATTGTGCTAATCAAAAACCAAAAGAAAATGTTCTGTTTCGTGGAATCTTACTTATTATAAAACCCAGGTTGTGTGTGTGTGTGTGTGTGTGTGTGTGTGTGTGTGTGTACGTTTATATATTGGATCGGATTTCCTACATTTTTCAACCGATTTCAACAAAACTTCACAGGACTACGTAAAATTACCTTGCGGTGGGTCTGACAGCCCCCAAAATTGGAAAAACACAAGTGTTTTGGTACGAAATCAATTTGAAAACACGATTAAGAGGCATCGCGAGAATGAAAGGGGGACAACTCACATCGAGTTATACTTATTATAAAACACATGTTGTTTGTTTGTGTGTGTATGTATTCGTTTATATATGAGATGAGATTTCCTAAATTTTTCAACCGATTTCAACAAAACTTCACTTTTTTTTGGCAGATAGTGTTTCTTATTGTCTTGCACACTTTTTTCTTTATTTTTACATTCAGAATGCTTTAAAATTCCATTTACAAGACAATTGTTTATAATAAAATTCTATTCAATCGGTAGACTCATAACGATTGAAAACAATGTTTTTGTTTGAGTTTGGGTTTGACCAATTCGTAAAAAAAAACAAAAAAAATAAAAACAAAAAAACAAACAAACAAAAAACTAATTAAGACATGCGTGTCCGTCAGCCTTAAACTATAATCTTTTTCAATTTTATTTTTCAGTCTTTATGATGGTCGATACTTGATCTATCTCTTACTGTTACATCCCCGGGCAACGCCGGTCTCTACTGCTAGTAATGAATGAAAAGGAAATAATTTCATCTTTATGTAGAAGTAATAAAACTAAAGAATGCTCAAATAATTGAACCGATTTTATATGTGAATTAAGTTTAAGCGTCTAATGATTTTTTTTCTTTTTCAGATTTGGCGGGCATTTGGGCGATATTATTTATCACACATGACCTAACATGATTCAATAAAAAAATTAGATTATTTTCACCAATAACAGTGATTTATTTACTGTTGACTTTGATCCGTCTTAATGAAACCCCCTTTATAAATATGTAGTTTATTACAGCTAGTTAGTAACATAGTTCATATCCTCTGTTATCTGATCATCGCCATATTTGGGGACCTTTATATCTTTATTTTCACAACAGAGAGAAATATATATTTTTCCCACTGTTCGAACACTACTTCGTTCAATACTGCTATATCGGCACTTATTCGGTCAAAGGGATTTTGTAATTTGTGACTGCGGAGTCTGGTAAATTTTTATAAAGTCTTAGTGGAATCATATTAATTATTTCAGGATTGGTAACTCAGCAATAAGAGTATCTTCCACGTGGGAAAATGTGACGTACGTAAGCATCGCGATCGCTTAATTCCAGTTTTAAAGTATTTCGTAAGTCTCAATATAAAGTTAGTAGACGATGATTGAGTATAAGATCTCATCAATTATTTACTAAAATCGGCTAGTGTATGTAGTCAATACTACGTCTGAACAAAACAGCTGGAGAACTGAAGAGATGTTTAACAAAATGAACAACTGATAATTATGAAGATTGTCATACTGCTGCTGATGATAATGATATTGTTGATGATGATGATGTTGTTGATGCTGCTGCTGATACTGTTACGCCTGTTGCTCATGATAATAAGTAGATATTACTGATACTCTTACTGATGCTGTCGCTGATGCTGATGGTGATAGAATTGTCTTTGATATTGTTGCTGCTGCTACTGATTCTGCTGATATTGTTTCGTTTGCTGATGATGATGCTGCTATTGCCGCTGCTGATTATGATATTTCGGCTATTGCGGGTATTGGGCATACTGATGCTGCTGATCGTACTGTTGGTGATGATCATATCGCTCTTGATATTACTGCTGCTTATACTGCTGTTGCTATCGTTCTTGACCATGATGGTGTTTCTTTTACTGTTGGTGATCATGATGCTTTTCTTGCTGCTGTCTTCGCTGCTTCTGCTGCTGGCGCTGATAATGACGTCGTGGTTGATGTTGTCAATGCTTCTGTTGTTCCTACAACTGATGTGATAAGGATGCGGTTAATAATCATACTGCTGCTCCAGCTAATGATTTTAATGCTGCTGATTATTCCGTTGTCGTTAGTGATAACGCTGATGATGATATTAATGCTGCTACCGGTAATGAAACTAATGATGATGACGATGATGATGATGATAGCTACGACGACAATAACGCTCAATATAATTAAGGACTGAGTTGAGACAGGAATGGCAATCAGTTATGATCAAAGGCTCATCTAAGCGATTCTCTCGGCCTGCCTGGATAGGATTAGTTATTTATAAAGTCCAAACCTCCGACTGGAACATTTCAGGGTGAATCGGCTTGGCAGAAAGACTGATCAAATAATCATGTGTAAATTAACGGAGTTACACACGCAATGCTTTGCCTTTTTCCGCTTGCTGAACCGTCTTCTACATGACTGACGAACAGATCTTCGAAAAAAAAAAACAAAAAAAACCCCGGAGCTCTTTCCGTTGACTCTGATCGTTGACCACACGCCGGCATGTAATCAACTTCTATTTTAAATCAGAGAAAAATTTATTTGAAAGAAAATGAAATTTCTCGAATTAACGGAGACAAATGAATAAATAAAAAAAAACAAAAAAAAAAAACAAAAAAAAAACGAATACCTTTAAAGAGAAAAAGGAATCTTTTTTTCTTTTTTTTTTTTCCTCTGGAGAATCTGTTAAGATTCAATCTGCAGTGGAGTCCAGGCTAGGCCACTAATCGTACGTTCTAATTATATCTATCAGCAACAGAATAAAATACAGTTGTTTACATGAAAAAATTTAATTCTATTCAACAGTCAGAAAAAATATAATTTGTCAATTATACATGAATACGGATAGAAAGTGAAGCGCATATACGCACATATTCACAAAGGTACAGAAAATCTCTCATGCACACATACACACGCCCCCATTCATACAATGGTACACACGTGTGTACACAAACTTAATATGCTCTTAACATTTGTTATTCATATAAATCCATTGCATAACTTGTCAACAGACCATTTTAAATATCTTTTTTATAAACTTTCATCAACACCCAGTTAAATGGTGTTTTTCTCATGAGACTGCCACAAAGTTTATGAGTTCAATCCCTGTTTGTGGTAGTATTGAAAAGTAAAATAATGTAATGCGGTGAAAGAAAAAGCACGTTAGCCAACGGTGACTAGAGTTAGTGTGTACTAATTAATAAAAAAAATATATTTTTCCTATGGATAGCGACGGAAAAATCTAACCACCAGAATTGATGAAATGGCTCAGTTCGAAATACCAGAAAGGAATTCCAAGCAAGTACAAGAACAATCTTTGATCATCTAAAATGACAAGGTCCGAATCTTTCTTCGTACAACCAAGATGAACACTCTGAAAGGATTAGAAAGACGTACGATAATGGCATTATTATCCGTTCCCACATTAGGAAACTTTTAGCATTCATTGACCGAGGTTTCCATTCATTAGACTTGTAATGAATCAATTAGAATTGTAAATTATGCTTTCCCCTTTCACTGAACGTTTCCGATGTTAATGCCCAGAGAATACAACTAAACCATCTTATAGCACCATTTATAAGACGGGTTAAGCTACAATATACACAACTAGGTCAGAAAAGATCCGCTCCTTCTTACTTGTAATAACATGTGTTTACATATAATAAGATTGTTTTTTTAATGCACATAACCGTTTAGTTACTTCTCTCGCAGTTCCTGATATTGGGACTTCCTTGCTTCACTGCTAAGTACAATCTTCACAAATGTAAACGAAACGTCAATCGTCATGCCTTGAATCCCGTTCTTCTTTGAATCCTTTTCGCAACCCCCTTTTATACCCAGTCTTTTCTGTTACTTTTTCTCTCTGTAACCAACTGGGTACTAGTAGCACTCCCGCCTTGCTTGGTAGAAAATACTCTATGCAGTGTCAGACGTCTGAAGACGTTACTCGTTATAAAAACAAAACAATATAAAAAAAAAACGGAAATTCACCGAAATTCTGCCACATATATATCCCGCAAAACTTATGTTTGTTGAACATTTTTGTCTTATTATCACAAAAAATTAATATAAAATTATAAAATAGTTACACAAATTCAGTATTCTACTACTGCTTCTCTTTCTTTACACGAGGCTGGTCAGGCCGAAAATGGAGTGCCGTTGTGATTGTTGCGAGAGAGCAAAAGGTTATCTCCCTTTGAAGAACCCTTTAAAAAGCTAAAGATAGCTTTATAGTCACGTAAGCTGCCCGAGAGATCGTTAGACGGGAAAGTCGAATTTCCTCTTTTCCTTCCTGGCAATCAAACTAGAAAGACCTACGTATTCAGTTCCGTGATAATCAACCGAAGATAAGTACCGAATATTATATTTTATTTCAGATAACATGTCCCTTACAAAAGAAAAATACATGCACATCTTGTATGAACATATATATATATATATATATATATATATATATATATATATATATATATATATATATATATATATATATATAATATAACTGTTTTATATAAAAACTTTATGGTTTATTTGAACTTTTTTAATGTGTTGTATAGCTATTCACTTTGTAAATGAAACCACTAGCATATATTCACGCTCAACATGATATTTGGGCGGGAGATGCTCAGTCCTATCTTTCCTGTCTCGATAGAGTTCAAAAGCATTTCCAATTCATTTTGGGTGACGAATTATTTTTCACCATCCAACCTGTCTCACATGCAGTATGTGACAAGACTGTTGCAGCTCAATCACTGCTAACATGGAAAGAGCTTGGACGAATTACATTCCTTAGTCCCGCCAGGTATAATCTTCACAGGCTTGGACCACCCTAATTCCCTTCGTATTCCATCAGTGAGAAGTCTGTTTCATACGAACAGCCTCTTCCCCCAAATCACTGCACTGTTGAACCAACTCCCAAAAGGATGTTTCCCCGATCCCTACAATCTTAGCAGTTTTATATCTAGGATATACAGTTATCTTCCCTTCCTATGTATATAAACTGTTTCTTAATGTAACTGCCTAACAAGAGTGGCCACGGGCCTTGTATAGAATAAACTTACTGTAATAATAATAATAATAATAATAATAATAAAACAAAAAAAACACGCTACAGCACGCATTGCGTCCAGCAGCTGATAAACTAAGTACAAATACTGACCGAAGCGCCATTTATTACTCAGGTGGTCATTCAGAGAACTAGGGATGGTATGCGTGTCATCTGCGCAATTTGATGAATAAGTAATAGCGGTAATATTTTTATAGGAGTTGTTGCTGATTTTAATGTGTTCATCAGTAGACCTGACGAATTTTAAATGATCACTAGTTTATACCGATACAATATACGGTACTTACTGGTGTGTGTCTTAGGTTGTTTCCAAATAGAAGGAATATAGATAAACATTACGTTTAGTATCTCAATAGACAGTTAAGTGGTATAACCTTATGTATTTTTCGCACAGGTAATCATATACTATTGTATAATTTAATTTAGCACTGGTAGCCTATCGTATGTTTGGGTGGGCCGGCCTATACGGTAGGTATAATTCAGAAGTCCAAGCTAAAAATCTTCAGTTAATCTTGTACACCACATAGGCTTGTACCCCGCAATTTATGGTATATGAAAGGATAGTGATCTAGAATTTATCTTACATATTTATGAGTCTACCATACGTCCATGGTTTGAATATTTCTGCAACGACTGGTCTGGTGGATTTGTTTTGTATTTAGGGAATTTTGATAACTTCCAAAGAAAAATATACTATTTTATTGGTTCCATCAGTCAATTCACACCGCCGTAATGTCGATTCCTCGCAGTTTTTCTATATATACGTCCATGGTAATTGTTCTGATAAACTTTCTTCTATGCTACCGAAACAAGTTAAGTTCGATACAAATTGGCGGTAAGTTCTCATCACGTTACCGTCGAAATGGCTAGATATAACCGCAAGTTCTATGCTCATAATTTCTTTTCTTACGTCTCTTGCTTGTGCAAACCTCTTCCGGCTTCTCAGTTAACTTTGGTATTTGAAGAATTAAAAGCAATGTCAATCATTATCTTCTTTCTTTTCTTTTATTGTTCTCTCTCTTTAATAGTGCTTTTGTTTCTCATATTCTCTCAAAGTAACACCCTTTTCTATTAATAGCCTTATTGTTCTGCCTGTGATGAAATGATTTTTAAAATATCAAACATAAAGACATATTAGATTTTATTATAATCACGTTTGTTCACTCCGGAGTATTTTGTTTCCCTTTATCCAACAACTTTATTAATTGAAGAAGAATAGTTCAATTTTAGAATTATTTATGCATGAATACGTATTAGACATTATTACCAGTGTGGTTGATTGAAGCCATCATATGATTTTTTTTAGATAAGAGGAACAATTGTTGATACAGAAATAGGAAGTTTTAATTGGCATTGGAATTGTAATATAGAATAGGCTATTTTATAACCCGAGAACTGGAATAGGTTAGATCCTCTCATATTCAGGTTGTGTTACTCAGGTTAAATTAAAATTTTCTGAGAACATTCTATTCTCGGAAGCGGTTAATATGTTCTGCTATATCTGAGTTAATTTGACGAATACTTCACTGAATTATTTACATTATTTATATTCGGACGATTGGCTGGTTTTTGAATTCGGTAAGATACTGGTAGTGAGTTCAATCTCTAGTTCGGGCAGTGTGTACATGGACTCAGTGGAAGCGGGCGAGCAATGAGTGAACAATGCTAACCAAAATAGAAAACTATATCCCTAGATATGAACAGTAGAACGATAATATTATAGCCGGTAAATTAAATAAAGGGTTCACTTGGGAATTTTCTGTAGATTACCCAGACGGTTATACATATAAGGCAGGCCGGAATACACAACGGCCGAAATTTTGTGATAACAGTTGAGAGGAGTACAATAGACCGAATATAAATAGTGTAAATAATGGTAACTCCTCATCCTGCAAAATCATTGAATGTTTCGATAACTTCAGACTATTGCTGTTGTATTTTCACTTTGGTT